ATCAGAAACGTTGTTTAGAAAGAGTTTGAGGAAATGTTTGATATTTCATGATAATGTTTGATAATCTTTCAATTTAGAATATTTAATTGTGTTTGAATCCATGTTTGAATCAAATGTATTTAATCTAAAGTGTGTAAATGTCATTTTTTAAATAATGTACAGCTATAAAGTCCAATTTTAAAGTTTTCATACAGTGGAGGCTTTAATATGAGTCCTTTTAGGTTTTTTGCCTCTTCCTACATCTAGTTTTGGTAACATTTTAATTTAGGGACCACATATTAATAGATAGCTAGTAGTAAAATGCATAATAAGTGCTTAATTACATCTTTGTTAGTATTTAAAAAGTACTTTCAATGCATTTTTGTATTAAGTATTAAGCCCATTAACTATTTTCTTCCCATTACAGTAGTGAGGATTACAGTAGATGTGTTGGTACATGCACTGAAATCATGATAAGTATTAAAAAGTGTTTGATAAATACCAATGTACAGACAAGTAACAGCTAATTACCATATCAATTGGCATTTAGTGATGAATATGTGGTCCCTAAACTAAAGTGTCACCCTACTTTTTTATCTAGTGTACATTTTTTATTGTTATATGTTATATATGTTCAAAAAAAATACATACTTTTTTTTTTTTTTTTTTTGGAAGAGGGAACAACATTATAAGTAGTTTCCGTCCTTTAATGCTGAAGTCGGTGGTTCAGATCCCACTTTTGACATAAACATCATTGGTTGAGAGGTCAGATCCACTGGCCCACTGATTCCAGCTCCCACAGATGAATACTGTCATTGTGTCCTTGGGCAAAGACACTTAATCCACCTTGCCCCCACTGTTTATGTACACTGGTGTGTGTGAATGGGTGAGTGGTTCCCTGTTGTAAAGTGTTTTGAATCCTTAAAGGTTCAAAAGTGCAGTACTAGTTTATAGTAATCTATCATCAGTTATAACTTGGTGCTTCAGTTTGATTTTGCACAATAACTCGTCTTTAAGTGGCCAGAGTTTGTGTTGAGGTTGTAGGTTCAAATTCCAGGTCATTGTGTGTTAAAGGTGAACTGTAACTTTTCTTTTGTTATTGTTTGACTTGAATGTTCCTTACTGTGTCATTAGTGTTTGTAGTCTGGTTACAGCACCAGGTCGTGTCACAGGTCTGTTCTCTTGTGCATCGTGGGATTTTTAGCATGAAAACATGTAATGCCATAATGTGGAACATTCCAAAAAAAAAGTTTGACTTTTTCATTTGATAATAAAATCCTACAATGACATTATTGACAGTTGTACAATAGTTAGGTTTGTTCTGTGACATCCTCTAGTGTTTACCTTGGTAACTGGGAAATAAAAACACATTTAGCTCTGCTCAACCTATGACACTGACAGATTCATGTGTAATAACCTCCTCTCCCTCTCTCTCTGATTCACTACTCCTCTCTCCCACTCTCTCCTCTTCTCCTCTCTCATCCCCTCCTCTCTCCATCTCTCTCTCTCCTCCTCTCTCCCCCCCTCTCCTGCTTTCCTCCTCTCCCCTCCTCTCTTTCCCACTTTCCTACTCTATTCCTTTCTCCAGCTCTCTCCTCCTCTCTCCTTCTTTCCCCTCCCTCTCGTCCCCCTCCCCTCCTCTCTGCTCCTCTCTCCCCTCCTCTCTCCTCTATCCTTCTCCCCCCTACCCCTCTGTTTCTCTCCTCCTCTCTCCTCTCCTCTTTCATCTCCCCCTCTCTTCTCCTCTCTTTCCAAGTCCCCTCCTCTCCTTCTCTCCTCATCTACCCTCCTCTCGACTTCTCTCTCCTCCTTTCTTCCCCTCTTCTTCCCCCTCCCTTCTTCTCGCCTCTTCTCTATTTCCTCCTCTTCCTCCTCTCTCCTCTCTCCTCTCTTGTGTTTAGCCAGCCTCTCAGTAGCAGCTTGTTGTGATCCGGCATGACACCTCTCTCTCCTCTCCTCCTCTCTCTCTCCTCTCTCTCCTCTCTTTCCTCTCTCCTCTCTCCTCCTCTCTCCTCTCTCCTCTCTCTCTCCTCTCCTTCCTCTCCTCTCTTCTCTCCTCTTTCTCTCTTCCTCCTCTCTCTCCTCTCGTGTTTAGCCTGCGTCTCAGTAGCAGCTTGTTGTGATCGGGCGTGACACGTCCTCTCTCGTCCTGTCCCCTCCATGACATCACATCATCTCCACACGTTCATAATTCATAATTCATAGGAGCAGCTGGGCCATTAGAGCCTGAGAGTGTGAGGAGAAAATGGACAGCTCCTCTCGGCTCCTCTGCGTTCTTAAATCACGCTCAATCATATTTTATTCACCAGTCTTTCGCTATTACCGCCTTCTCCAGCAGTGTTGTGCAGAATGGGTAATTTCCTCCCCAAATCTGACATGGCTGACAATTGTTACCGTGGCGACCGTGGTTTGGCAAGCGAGGCCCTGCTGTCAAAATGGTTCTAAAAAAAAAAAAAAAAAAAAAAAAAGATCTTTGGGGTAGTTTTTACAATGGAAGTTGTGGATGTTGTTTTTGACTATCACCTGTTGAAAGAATGTATTTACTGTCTGTTCTTTTGTTTTGTCATCTCTCACTGTCAGCCAATCACAATTTACTACCTAAGACCCTCAACCAATCACCTTCAAGAACAGAGACCCAGATACGAATTGGTATTAAATGTCATTTGAATAAGTATTGATACAGATACAATTATAAAATTGGTCTCATTTTCTGATCTCTGTTCTAATGTCGTTTCGTCATCACACACAGTTCTGGAGTTGTGTTTTGTTTCTTTCATACATGTTTAACACACACACACACACACACAAAAACTGTACAGATTTAGGCTGAGTTCTTCTCTCAAACAGAAAACACTCTGTTCCACCTTGTGACATCATATGGTAATACAGGAAGTGCTCCACTGTGTTTTTAAACTCCACACCAGCCATACCGGTTTGTCAAAGCCTGATCCCGTCAGATCTCAGGAGATCAGAGGCCGGGTCTGGTCAGTACTTGGATGGAGACACTGGGAAAATCAGGAGCCACAGGGGGAACCAACTGCAAAAACTGTCGCTGTGTCCTTAGGCAAGACCCACATTGCCTAGTATGAAAGTGGTGTGTGTGTGAGTGATGGTGGTCGGAGGGACCAATGGTGTCGATTGGCATGGCAGCCGCGCTTTTGTTAGTCTGCCCCAGGGCAGCTGTGGCTGCATTAGTAGTTTACCATCACCGGGTGTGGAGAAGAAGAATCATGAATCTATAAATGTTCTGTTATGACCTGGAATTACCAGACTCTACTCAACTAAAAGTAAAAGGAGCTGTTCACTGGAAAACTACCCCTTCATGACATCACCAGGTGGAACAGAGCATTTTGAGTTTTGGAGATGTAGACTGACCAATATAAAGAAAGAATTACTCAAACATGTGAATGAAACAAAACACAAGTCCAGGTCTGTTTTTAAGGAGGTAACGAGGGCTGTGCAAAAATATCAAAATATCGATATATCGTATTGTTTAATGTGATGATACAGTATCGACTTTTAACAAAGACTTTTAGTATCACAGCCATGATTTAGACTTTATTTTTTTATTGAACCATATCAAATCGATGTGAAATATATTGTATTGAATCATAAGCTCACTGTATCGAGAGCTGTATTGTATCGTGGCCTATGTATCTAGCTATGCATCGTATTGGCAACTTCTTAATGATACCAGCTCTAGAGGTAACATTCTAACATGGCTTAAAGCTCAAAAGAGTCAGTTTTGTGTAATACATGACACGTCCCTGTGGCTGTTCTAAAGTTCAGGCTCAGGACGAAGGTGATGGAGCCTTTTCAGTCCAGGCACCTTGGCTTTGGAACGACCTGCCTGAAGAAATAAGACTCACACTATCAGGATCATTTTGAAATCACTTTTTGTAAAATTTTTTGCTAGATTTGATTCTTTATTTATCTTTATTCTATTTTATTAACTGATTTATTATAATGAACTGACTTGATCTCTTCATTGTGTGATTTTGTGCGTTCTGGATGCTACTTTCATTGTTCTTTTCTTATTTATGACTGAAATCGAGCTTATTGAAACACACACATATATATATATATATATATATATATATATATATATATATATATATATATAGGCAGTACTTCTTTTCTGGTGTTCTCAGCCAAAGCAAACATGCGTGAGTTTTCTGGGACGTCTGTGTGCTCGTCTTTGTTTTGGTTCAAACAACAGACGCACAAGACAAAAGAAAAGAGCCATTTTCTGTACACCACAACACAGTCTATACACACTGCACACTGTATAGAACATGTATATATGTGTGTGTATAAGGCATAAGGCAGTGTGCATGAGGACGCACACAGGGACAGAGCACCCAAGTGTGGACACACAACGAACACAACAAGCATGAGGGAGGAAAGAGAGAGAGGAGAGAGAGGAGAAAGAATAATTCCGAGAAGGAAAATGAGAGACTGTTATGAATAAGGGGAAAAAGAGAGAATGTAAAAGTGAAAAGAAAGAGACAGCGAGAGAGATAAAGGGAAAAGAAGAGAGAAAGAATGAGAATGTGAGGGAAAAAAAGAGAGAAAATTAAAGTGCAAAGACAGAGAGAGAGATGAAAACAGAGAGACGGAAAGAAGAGAAAAGAGAGAGAAGAAGGAATGAGAGGTGTTGGAGGGAGAGAAACAGGGAAAAGGAGAAAATAAAAATGGTAAGAAGCTGAAAGAGAACAAAGAGTGAGGGAAAAAGCAAATGCAGGAATATGGGAAAAAAGGAGAGAGAGAGTGGAAGGAGAGAGATAGTAAAAAGAGAGAAAGAGAGAGATTTGGAAGAGAAAGAGAGAAAGGAGATGGACAGTGAGAGAGAAGGAGGAGGAAGAGATGAGAGACAAGAGATAGAGAAGGAGAGGAGGTCAAAGGAAGGATAAAAGAGGAGACAGTTGGAGAGAGAAAGGGATGGATGGAGAGATGGAGGGAGAGAGGGATGGAGGGAGAGAGGGATGCATGCAGGTGAGCGAGCAGAGGATGGTACTTACCCACGGGTCGAGCTGAACACATGGACACACACGTGATGGACAGACACAACATAAAAAAACACAAAAGTCAAATTAAGATTCGCGTGAACTCAACCAAAGAGAAGCAGAGTGAAAGACGATGACAGGAAGTGAGCTGGACATGATGCTAACGTGCTAATGCTAACGTGCTAAAGCTAACATGTGGCTAGGCTCACAGGTGGCCTCATACGACTGTAGAAAGACGTGGACTGTGTGAGTGTGGAGTTAACCACAGTGTTCAGGTCCAGTCAAATGAAGCTCAGTGAGGCTCGTGGTTATAGCGGCAAAGTCACAGAACTCTAATCAAATTTGAAGGTGAAACCAAGATGGCGTCGTGTTGTTTTCAGTGGTCTGTGCTCGCTGACCCAAAAAATGGGCCAAAATGTTATTGACTTCCTCGATACAGACGAGCTCCTCCCACCCTGTTTGGAATGTGGCGGCTAGTGCAGGGGTGTCAAACATACGGCCCGGGGGCTGGATCCGGCCAAGACCTTTAATCTGGCCCTCGGCTGATTTTCTACTATAATATTTTAATGATTATTTATTATTTATTTTCTATTAAAATCTTGTTAATTTTCTGTGGTGTTTATCACAGCAGCGTCTCCAGTGTCTCTGTACGTGGCCCCTCCCACCAGAGCAGCACAAATGAAGACTTGTCTCTTTCCAAACGCTCTTAAAGGACGATCGTTTTGACTGTTGACCGTGACACCCTCATCAGAAAAATGTCCAACATGAGAAAAGTGGAGCCGAGTGCAGGATTTTTACAACAAAAATGGACTTACTCCTATTTACATACAAGTTCATGTTAAAACATTGTTGAAATTATTTTTTTTTAAGTTTCAGGTTGTTCATAATATTATAACACCCACATTGCCTAGTATGAAAGTGGTGTGTGCGTGAGTGATTGTGGTGGTCGGAGGGATCGATGGCACTGATTGGCATGGCAGCTGCACTTCCGTCAGTCTGCCCCAGGGCAGCTGTGGTTACAATAGTAGTTTACCATCACCGGGTGTGGAGAAAAAGAATAATGAATCTATAAATGCTCTGTAAAGCGTCTTTGTGATATATGTCTGTGAAAAAGCGCTATATAAAAATAAAGACTTACTTACTTATAATATTTTGTAAAAGAAAGAGTTCATCATTTTAAAAAAGATTTCTGCATTAGATTTGTGTTTCTCTGCACAAATATTTGAACTTATTGTTATTTTTGTGGTTTATATGACATGAGTTTTCTGATCCGGCCCCTTTGGGATCAAAGTAGGTTGGATACGGCCCCCGGACCAAAATGAGTTTGACACCACTGGGCTAGTGGGTTAGCTATAACCATTTATACAGTCCAGTGTTTCCCACAGGCCAAGTAGCCCCCCCCCGCAAAATAATGAAACAGCATTAGCCTATTTTGTGCATAACTGGCATGTCTTATCAGAACACCTCAATTTACGTGGCTTTCTGCAAAATTACTGAAGTGCCCGATCATAAAGGACCTCCTGGAGTTTTAGCCCATTTACTGTGTGTGTGTGTGTGTGTGTGTGTGTGTGTGTGTGTGTGTGTGTGTAAACCGTCGGGGCCCTACAGGACTAAGCGCAGCCGTCGCCCGATCACACTTTGTGGACACCCTGCGCAGGAGAAATGGTTTCCGGTTCCACCACCAGAGCAGGTAGTGCAAGTGTACGCACACAAACATGTATGTGTGGCTGTTGATCTCTCTCTCTGTACGTGTGAGTGAGAATGACAGAATCTCGAAAAAACAAAAGGTGGAATTTGTGGCGCTCGGTTTTCATTCTGTGGCACTGCGCTACAGATTGGTCTATGTGTGGGAAACACTGCAGTCACGGTAAACGTTCTAAAGCATGCAGGATTTTAGATTCTTTTTTATTTGATACTTACATCTGATACAGACAAGAAGAAGATTTTTTTGTGGACTCCATCTTGTGTCTCATCATCTCAAAGCTCTCTACTCCCCCTAGTGGCAGCCTATGATCTGTACGTTTTGTTGTATATGACTACAAGTTTTCTCCTATTCGCCCTCTCTCTATTCCGCTACATTCAGACATGTGACTGTGTGACTTGTGCACTTTCACAAACCCATGTCCCAATCCCCCTGTGTAAAAACAAACCTGATGCCCTCCCCTGGCCCGTGCGCTGCGTCGCCGCGCCGCAGAGAGCACAAACACTCGGCTTTAATGGGAAAATCCGTGTTGAAAAGAAGTGAAATGATGTCTTAAATGTTTTGATTAACCCCGGGCCTGCGCAGGTGAGCTGTCGGCGGTGTGCACCACTAGGCTGTGAAATGGCTTTGCTGACTGAGCGCGTGCAGAAGGGGGGAGGGGGCGGGGCTTCTGCGGGCCGATGGGGGACGTGGATTTGTGAACGTAAATAAATAAATAGCTTGATAGACTTAACTAGAGAGGACGAGGATTGAAGGAGAGAGCGGGGATGAACAACTGACTCAAGTTAATGTCAATAGTCTCTAGTCACGCTTACGTCACAAACCAGGAAGACGTTTGGAAACATCAGTGACATCTTCCGGTGTAGTTCCCCACACTGGGCTCACTGACAGATAAAACCCATCGAAGTAAATGTGAGCAACGGTAAAATGAAGACTGCACACTTATAATCACATGTACCAGTGCACTTGGAGTTGTGTGTCAGTGGGAAATGATGGTTGAAATTGTTGATTATCTGAACATAACGGAACACTACAATGACATGGACATGAAGAAAACTGGGACATTTTCTCATTTTTCCAACATTTTGTCAGACTATCGTGAACAGAACCTGCTGCAAGTTGTCATTGCATGTTTCCAAACGTCTTTCTGGTTTGTGACATAAGCATGAATAGACTATTTAAAGGTGCATTGTGTGATTTTTTTCAGGTGAAGGGTCCGCCACCCACTTGTCTCCATGTAGATATTCTGGTAAAGCACTGAACATATCCATCTTGCGTTTACTCTACGATATTGTTTTTTATTAACCTAAAAACTTGCATTCTTACTGTGAGTGTGCTCTCCTCTCCACAGATCTGACATGTAACTTGGCCCTGTGGCATCAACTGTCTGTCTCCATAGAGAAAAATAAATGTGATGCCATAATCGCCACGTTAACATGAGAGCTTTAATTCTGAATAAAAATAATTAAATTCTGAATAAAAATGTATTCTGCTTTAACAAGACCGTGGAAACACTTAATTCCTAATGAAAATTATTATTCGGAATTAAGTTTAATTCCATATTAAGTTTAATTTGGAATGGGTGGTTTATTCCGATTTTAAAGCCGAATTAATTTATTCCTCGATTGTGTAAAGGTTTATTCTTTTTTATCTCAATCAGAACCCTTCCCCACTCCCAGACATTGAGCGGATTTAAATAAAGGCGGTTTCACATGTTTTCCATGTAAACCTCAATTCAGATATAATATAATATTTTAATTCCAAACTATTTAAATCAGGAATTAATTTGAAATAAAAAAATTATAATAATAAAATAAATTACCGTCAACATTTCAGAAGCAGGTGACGGACCCTCCACCAGAAAAATGATCCAGTGCACTTTTCATATACTTCTAAACTCAAATCAGATTCTAAATGTTTTGTATCATTGGGGTTTTATTATTTCATATGAAATTAATCGACTTTATGTCAGATTTAAGACGCAAAACGAGTCCCAAATTCTCCACGGACATGAATTGGATCCTCGTTTAACCGGAAGTGCCGCCATAAAAAAGCACCGTGTAGGAGTGTTTAGAAACAAAAGTGGGCGAGAAGGAATAAAGTGGATTGGCTCTTTGCACTACACGTCCATGTCACTAAACCCTTCCTGTTGTATCTCTGGGTGTTTTGCAGAGTTGCACTAAATTGAATAAATCTTTGAGGCAGTGGACAATGAGTTTACAGATAATTTGGTCATTTTAAATTGCATTAATAATCTAAAATGACTTAATAAAAAAAATAATAATAATAATAAATGCACTGACTGCGTTAGAAACTGTGGTGACCAGTGCGAGCTGAAAAACAAAGCGCCATCTGCTGGACTATTTCATTCGCTTTAATCCATGTTAGAATGTTATTACTTCATCAAAAACAGACCTGGAGTTGTGTTTTGTTTCATTCACACATGTTTGAGGAATTATTTATTATTAGTCTGTCTATATCTCCAAACTTTCAAATGTTCTGCTCCAACTTGTGATGTCATGAAGTGGTAGTTTTCAATGTAAAAGCTTTAGTTGAGGAGAAATGAGCAATTCCAGGTCTGAAATGATCCAAATGGCATATGGCAGGGGTCTCCAAACGTTTTCCTTCAGGTGAACTACTTTTACAAAACAAAAATGCCAGAGAGCTACTAGTTTTAGCAGTCACAAAAAATGGGAAGCCTTAGATGAGGTACAGTTAGATGCCTATAAAACATAAACCATTATAATATTTCATTGCTTGACAAAAGCGCGTGTTGCATGCTGGGAATTATTTTGGTTGGCGGCAAGAAACACTAATTCAACATGACGGACGGAGCGAGAAAGCACGTAAAGGGTATTGATCCCGGTTATTTATCCACTCTAACGGCAGAGGACCCAAGACCATTTGACCAGAAATTGGTCAGAAGCATCGACGGACGACAAATCACCCTTTTCAACCCCGACAAAAGGTGGACCAAACCAAATTTCAGGTCGGAATCACCAACTACCTGGACAAATATTCACTTGGGTGATATCCACAATGACTTGGTGGAAACTCCTGGGTCATTCACAGCAGAAAAGATGAAAACCTCCAAGAGTCTCGATGTGTTGTTGAACTTGTTGGAGTCCACGGTTTGTTAGGATCTTCTACGTTTGCTCTGCGGATGTTTGAAAGTCATTTAATTCACCGTTAGTGGTTCTTTTCACTCAGAATACGAAAAAGACATTTTCCTTCTTCCGTGTTTCTATTTGTGCATCTGATAATGCAGCAGGAATTTACCATTATCGGGGATAAATACGCAAGGTTACGCACTGTGTTTGACCACTATCCTGTTTCTTGCCTACGACCAAAATATCTCCCAGCATGCAACGCGGCTAATAACAATGACTTCAGCTGAAACTCACCTATTTATTTATTAATGTACAAAGTTACGAATCGACATGATACATGTAAATTGGTAAAAGGCATTTAATTAATCAAATTTTATGTATTCAGCTCAATATGTGTAATTCAGAAATCCCTTGGTAAACTTTGGCATATGGAGTTTAAAAACACAGTGGAGCACTTCCTGTTTTACCACATGACATCACAAAATAGAACAGAGTTTGTAGTTTTAGGTAAAAACTCCACCTAAATGTGCAGGATTTGTGTGTTAAACATGTGTGAATGAAACAAAACACAACTCCAGCTCTGTTTGTGATGAAGAAACATTAGAACAGAGATCAGAAAATAGAGTAATATGATTCTTTTAAAATGTTCCTGTGTGTTTCCCGATAAAAAACGACATTCATGACAGAGTGAAGTTATTTCCCGCTTCTGTTCTCCACTTTTAGCTGACGTTCTCAACAGACTGAGCGGTGTTTGAGGTGCAGAGGTGAACATGAGAGACGTATGATGAAGATGACGTGTAAAAGTCTGCTCGAACAAACACAGATCTGATGCGTATATGACCTCTGACCTCGGACAGTGAGCGTAGCCGCTGCCTCCAGTTTGCCCACTCTGTTCTCGGCCACGCAGCTGAACACGCCCTCGTCCCCGATCGACGCCCTCTTCACCTTCAGCACATAGTCGTCTTTGTCGTACTTGATCTCATACCTACGAAAAAAGAAGGAAGAATCATTAAAGACGGGTTAAAACAACTCTGTGGGGAGTTAACTGTGAACACATGACATTATAGATCAACATGTTACCTTTTATTGTTCTGAAAATGCTACGTAAATAAGGCTGGGGATCATTAAGAATACGATACATACCTCGATACATAGATCATGATATGATACATATCTCCATACATCAAGCTTTCGGTTTGATATATTTTAAAATCAATTTGATAAGGTTCAATAAAAAACAAAGTCTAAATCATGGCTGTGATACTAAAAGTCTTTGTTAAATCACTTCTTGTGCAAAGTTCATATGAAACACAAACACTTTAATCATCAAAACAGTGAAAATGTCAAATGTGTCGCACAAACGAGTTTCCTTCCTCTGAACAAACAACAAAACTGAATGCTGTGACCAAATAATTTAGTAAAATAAACCAAAAAACACTCTTGGAGATATATCGATACAGCAGCCCATGATATTGATACTGTATCATCATTAAACTATGCAATATATTGATATTTCAATATTTTTACACACCCCATTTATAAAATGTGTAATTAGCTTCAGTTTGTTTTTTTCCCTTTGCTCCCCATGTCGTCACTCCCCCTTCAGAGCGCTATAACAACACAATCAGCGTGTATCTCGTTAAAGGTGTATCTTGTAATTATTTTGGTGGTGGCTCTGTCAAATACCTTTCTGTCCTCATGGAGACCAAACCAAGTTACAAGTCAGGTCTGTGGAGTGGCAACCCCACTGTTGATGGTGGACTGTACTTTAGAGGTTAACAATTGTGATTAATTTGATAAATGTATATTTTAAAGGATATTGATAACAATGAATTTAGAGTATTTTTAGAGAAGAAGATTATGAATTATGAATGAATTATGAATTATGAAGAAGATTATGAATTAGTTTCTTTCATGTCGCTGTACCTGCCTGAAGACGGCAGGTGGACAGGAGCATGTAGCTGAATCTGTCGTGGAGCATCTTTTCTCTTTGCGATAAATGTTTTCTGTGTACTGCCCATGTTTGAAATGAATAAAATAAAAGTATTTTTGAGCTATAAAACCACCTGTAATTGAATAAATGTAAGGTAGAGTTGTTTAATGTCACACTGTGGAACATTCCAAGCAGAGCAGAGATGAGAAGCTGATGGACCCATTACTAAAAAGTTACACATTGCACTTTCAATGAAAAGTTCACATTGCTTCAGGTTTGTCAAGTCAGTGTAGGCTTGTGGGCGGAGCCTTGTACAGAGTCTTACAGCTAACCCTAAGGAGGGTTCAAATAGGGCATGGGAGAGATCTCTAAGTTACTCAGACATGCATGGATGACATCTACAAACTCTTCAGGCAGGTTTTTGAAGGGGAAACAGCGTCATAACACGGCAGAAAGCTCCAAAAGTTCCTTCTGCTTAACACGCGCTCTTTAATATTCCGTCCTTCAAATTACATTATTACAAGAAGAGGAGTTGTTTACGGCTCTCGTAATTGTCAGGAGTGAATGAAAAATCTATGCACTGTTGTAATATATTCAGCATTAGAGAAGCGCTGCGGTAATGTGAGCGAGGACATCAAATCTGACAGGAGTGTTTAGAAGGCGGTCGGTAAAAGCCATTACCGTCTCCATCAGGCCTCCATCATAAACACCACGCACTGCAGCCCCAACACGGTGACTTCTGACGGCACATTACGCTCTGCTCATTTTACTGCCATTATGCAACCCCGTCCCGCAATTATGACATCACTTTATGTTTGTTTATGTTTTTGTCTGCAGTAAAAATGACATTCGTACACTACAAAAACAGGACTAGACGCCGGGATTGTTTGAGAGGTTTACTCACTGTGATTGTGAGGACTAAACCAGAACTAAACCAGAACTAAACCAGAACTAAACCAGGACTAAACCAGGACTAAACCAGGACTAAACCAGGACTAAACCAGGACTACACATGGTCCAAAGTCAGAATTCTGCTCAGGACCAAGAGCAGCCCAAAAATAATCTGTGTATCTTTCGTTCATTAGTTTTTCAATATTAAACCAAAAATAAGAAAATGAAAAAACAACAGTTTTCTTCATTATCTGTCTCCAAAACCAAAATGAAAAAACAGATAACAATTTGTTTTTTCAGTTTTCGATTTTGTGTTTAAATGAAGAATGGAAAAAACTGATAACGCCTGTTTACGTGACTTCTGTGACTGCATACAGACTGAACCAGGACTGATCCAGGTCCGGGACCAGAGCGGGACCAGAGTGGACTCCGAGCTTTGACTCCAAGCCTCAGTGGTGTCCGAGCCTCAGCTTCGAGCTCCAGCCCTGCCGTAGGCTCAGAGCCTCCGGTCTGGTCCTGGCTTGGTATTGGTCTCAGTCTTGGTCTGGTCCCGGTGTGGTCCCGGACGTGGATCAGTCCTGGTTCAGTCCATATGCAGTGCAAAAGTCCGGCATCACAGTTACAGAAGTCACGTAAACGGGAAACGGTTGTTATCCGTTTTTTTCCATTCTTCATTTAAACATAAAATTGAAAACTGAAAAAATGAATCGTTATCTGTTTTTTTCATTTTGGTTTTGGAGACAAATAATGAAGAAAGCTGTTGTTTTTTTGTTTAGTTTTTTTCATTTTTAAAATTTTTGGTTTTATATTGAAAAATGAATGAACAAATGATACACGGATTGAAAATCTGGCAGACACAAATTTCAAAAATTTGTCACTTTATAATGTTTTATCTTCTTGTTATTGTAAATGGCCCCGTTGTATTCTTTATTACTGTATTTTTTAGACTATAAGGTGCACTTGATTATAAGGCACAGTATCAATAATGTTGAATTATCTCCGTCTATTTTCATACATAAAGCGCATTAAACAAAACAAATGCACGACACTTGAGACTGATCCTTAGTCCAGGCGTCCACGATCCATTGGCAGATCGTGGTGTAATTCGCCTTCGTTGTCTCTCTGTCAGGTGAATGTGGATTATGAATGTGAATGTGGCTGGATCATTTAAGTTTTTTTTTTTTTTTTTTTTTTTTTTACTTCCTACGAGAACAACTCAAATATACATTGACTAATAATGTGTTTAATTCAGCTTTGGCACATTTGTTTACGTTTTACAGAAAACAAACTTAAAACCACATGACTCATTTACATAAGCTCTGAAAAAACAGCTCTCTCCTGATGCAGTTCAGCTTGTGTCGGACTCACTTACTCTGCGAGGCTCTTGACTACAGTCGCCGTAAAGCTCCATCAAGCGGTGCAGCTTCGTAGCAAAGTCGTACTAAAACATTCTGACTTTCATTTTTGAGCATCATGTACCACATAAAATCGGTTCGAGGTCAGTAAACACAACCAGAATTAGTACATAAGGTGCACTGGATTATAAAATGCACTGTCGATTTTTGAGAAAATGAAAGGATTTTAAATATAATTGCTATTTTGCTGTATGATGACCTTTTCATTTATTTTATTTTACCTTTATTTAACAAATCTTAGAGTATCTCATTATAAAACCATTTGCATCTCTCAAGAAAATCATACCCATGTCTCGGTCTACGCACCTTTCACAATTTTCTTAACCTCATCAAGTGAAACCGTAGATTCCATTTTAAGATCTTTCTGTAAATGATTTCTAAACCGTGGAGCAGTAGAGAAAAGGCAGATTGTCCCAGGTCAGTGAGGCACCGAGGGACAGTGAAGAGGAACTGGGAAGAGGAGCGAAGCCGATGTCGACCTGAGCTCAAAATTAAGGAGGTTACTAAAGTACACAGGAAGGTTCCACAGTATGGCTTTGTAAATAAATATTAACCAGTGCTGTTTCCATTGCTACAGATGCCCATAAAAAGTGCAATGGTGAGTGATAAACCTCAGGGATGCAGATACACAGAGACCGGTGTGTGCAGAGTGGAGGAGGGAGCTGCATATAGAAGATATCACCACAGTCCAGAACAGAAAGAAAAGATGCATCCACTATTCTTTTTGTTGGTTTTTCTCTTCTTTTTTTTTTTTCTTAGCACTGAAAGGAAAGCAATATTTGTATCTAAAATAGAATAAATACCCATACTAAAAATACCTAATTATATACCAAAAGGAGAAAAGATGCAGGACTAAACCAGGACTAAAGACTTGGCCTCTCCACAGATCTGACCTGTAATCTGGCCTGGTGATGGCACCTGTTTGTTTCCATGGAGATGCATAAGTGTAAAACTGTGGTAACCTGGATTCATCAGACTGACATGAGCATCACTGAACTGACTTCTACACTTTAATATTCTAGAACGTCTCTCACTGAAGGAGATCAGAAAACACGAAATCATCACAACGATTATTTGGATTGTGATGAATTTGTGAACTCCATTTGACTGTGCAAGGTAAATACTGTAGTACAGAACACCCTTCTTCATTAAAGTTCCACAGTGCAGCTTTATTAGGGTCAGCATTTCATTTTGAGAGCGTATTGTTTCGTTGTACATTGTGTTACAAACAGCTCTCTTCAGCAGACACAGCAGAGTGTTTTCTGAATCCAAAAGGAGCTGAGGAGTTGAAGACTACAGCAGCAGTTTCACTTTGACAAACACAGACTGAGCTCAGAAACTCATCTATTATTCAACAATGACACAGGAGCAAAGAGACGAGTGTGGACTGATCCAAACAGCAGCTATGTTTAGAGACCAGGAGACATCTGAACCACGCACAGACAGTCCAGTCCAGTCTGTCTCAGCAGCTTCTGTGGAGTTTAATAAAACACACTCAAGCTAATAAGACCTGTGAGATATTTGAGACAAGACTGGAACACTGACTCTCCAAATTCATCCATTTTAATGTAGTAAATGACTTTAGAATTTCAAGATAATGTAAGATAACAAGAGGAAAAGGATCCTCAAAAAAAGAAAAATAATAATCAAATAATAATAATAATAAATACATAAAAATTAATACATAAATTAAATTAAAAAATACATTAAAATAATTAATGAATTAATCCAAATATTATATATAGA